GATGAGGATGAGGATGAGGACGATGCCGCCCGCCGTTAGCGTCAGCAGCTCAAATCAGGTCGTCACGGGTGCTCTTTGTGCGCCTTTTGGGGCCAAGGTAAGTGAAATTGCTGGATGCTCACATTTGTCTGGGACGACAACATGGCGTGACATCTGTTCCAAATGTGTTGCTTGGGCTCAAAACAGGTGCCTAAGATTTGCTCATTCTGCCTCCGCCCTGCCAAGAAGGCAGCGATGCAATCTTGTGCTTGAGCTAGCACAGGAGCGACCGTCCTGCTGCAAGGCTCTTTTCATGACAACCAGCAGTGATGGCACAACACCAAACCAAAATGTAGCAAAAGTGGGCACAGTTGTCAATCGTGCCCACATCATAAACCAACTAAATACATGCAGAAAACCAACAAAAGCATGTCCGTGGTGGACCTTGTGCCATCCAACGGAAGAGCTTTCCCGCGTCGTGCCTGCCACGATGCACCATTAGCGCCGCGTGGTGATAAAGGAGCTGCGTTTGGAGTGAAGAAGTGGACCATTTATACGTTACGCTCGCCAAAAAGGTTTCACAAATCTCTCTTGAGGCAAGTGTCAGAAGTTGGGTCGCTTGACCTCGCTGCCACGGAAAGATGAAGCAAACATTATTCGGCATAAATGGAATACTTTGGGATCGATTCAGTGAAACGACATCATTTCCCACGTCACGGCGGACAATGTGCCATTGACGCACTGGGTGGGAACGTGCGGAGTTGAAACGCTTCCGGAACGAACGTTCGTGACGGCAAAAAGGTGCGTTGTAGTCAATGACATGGATTTTTTTTCTTGATTTTGTTTTTCAGTGTCCGATGGTCTGACTGCAGCCTTCCCAATCTCGATATCAAATTCAAGCCGGCGTGCGCCACCCTTGTCGGTGTTGTCAGAACCGTCAACCGATGTCGAGCACTTGTGACTCGGTCGCCGTCGTTGACGCGCTGGCCGCGTACCGGCGCATCCGCCCGCGGCGCGTGGGAGGCTACGCGCCCCAGG